TCGCAGCTCGGGGTTGCCATAAACTGTGATCCGCGGCCCAGTCGGGCCACTGCTCCTCCAGCAGGGACCCAACAAGCGGCAGATCTGGGGAGACCCCCTTCCTCCCCCAGGAGGAGCAGCGTGGGAGCGCACCGCAGGGATCTGCTGGGTTTGGAGACTCCACATGGTGTCGGGTGCCAGGGACAGAAATTCTAGGTCACAGACCAGGTGAGCACGGAGTGCGGCCAGAGACCAGGGAGTCGGGAGTGACTGACTGCTTTTCTCTGGGGGCGCACTGAGGAACGGGGCCCTGAGTTCTCGGCTCCTCCGGGTGGAGATTGGGAGGCTGCCATTTTCACTCTCGTCCTCCAAAGCTGTACCGAGAGCTTGTAGGAACAAAAGCTCCTGAGAACAAACCCGAGCAGCTTGCTTAGCCCAGACCGACAAGGGCGGCGCAATTCCGCCTCTGGCAAAGACATTTGGGAACCACGGCAACAGGCTCCTCCCCCAGAAGATCAGCACGAACAGGCAGCCAACACCAAGTTTACCGATCAATGAGAACGGGAGAACTCCAGCGCAAGGGGAATACTGCGCATAGAATTCATGGCTTTTTTCCCCCCTAATTCTTTAGGGTTTCAAACTTAATTTTTTTAATTTTTTTTTGAAGTTTTCTTTTTCCCTTTTTCAACCAACATCTTATCAAACCCATTTTAAAAAATTTTTTTATTTTTCATTTTTAGAGTCATATTCTATCCCTTCATAGTAGTTAACCTTAGTTTTGGTGTATATATATAAATTGTTCTCTCTTTAAAATTTTGGGATACAGTTTCTTCTAACAGACCAAAATATACCCTAAATCTCTAGTGTATGCCTTTGTTCTAGTCTCCTGCCTGATCACATTCTCTCTCTTTTTTTTAATTCCTCTTCTTTCTTTTTTCAATCAACATCTTATCTTATCAATTCCTTTTATAAAATCTTTTATACTTTTCATTTGTACAGTCATATTCCATCCCTTAATCGTATTTACCCTTATTTTTGTACATAAATGTTTTTCTTTCTTTAAAATTTTGGGAGGCACTTTCTTCTAACAGACCAAAATACGCCCAAATTCTAGTGTGTGCACTGATCTGTGCATCATATTTGATCATATTCTGTTTTTTTTGTTTTTATCTTTTCCTTTTTCTTTTTTTCCCCTTTTTTCTTTCTTTCCCTTTCTGTTCCCCTGGTTTCAGGTCTTTTCTGATTTGTTTAGTGTATATTTTCTGGGGACGTTTTTACCCTGTTGGCATTTTGTTCTCTCATTCATCTATTCTCCTCTGGACAAAATGACAAGACAGAAAAAAATCACCTCAACAAAAAGAACAAGAGGCAGTACTGACTGCCCGGGACCTAATCAATATGGACATTAGTAAGGTATCAGAACTAGAGTTCAGAATGACGATTATAAAGATACTAGCTGGGCTTGAAAAAAGCATGGAAGATATTAGAGAAGCCCTTTCTGGAGAAATAAAAGAACTAAAATCTAACCAAGTCGTAATAAAAAGGCTATTAATGAGGTGCAAT